GAAAGAAAGAAAGAAAGAAAGAAAGAAAGAAAGAAAGAAAGAAAGAAAGAAAGAAAGAAAGAAAGAAAGAAAGAACTTGACAGCAGGAAAAGACCCAGAATTACATTATAATGATTGGTGAATTCAGCTAGGTCTTTTTTTTAAAAGAAAACTTTTTTTTGCCCTGCTGCCAGGTATATTTCTAATCTCTTTCATCCCTTAACTATTATTGAAATAATATTTTACCTTTATTTGATATTCCTATTGAAGATTACCTAAACCAGGGGTATCAAACTCACATCGTCCCAGTGGCATCACGTGACGTATTGGGACTTTCCCCCCCTTCGCTAAACCGGGCGGGGGCAGGGCCAGAATGTGACACATCCTGCCTATGGGCTGTGAGTTTGACACCCCTAAGCTAAACTATTTGTTCTGACCTAGACCTTCCCAAGATTGTGAAGCCGACTCCTCATCTCGATAAAACCCCTTTTATTTAGGTTAAAGTGAATTCCTCTCCGACAAAGTCCCAGCAAACAGTCTTTCATGAGATTTCATAACCACAGACCTTTATCAGGCTTGGAGAGTTGCCAGTCCGATATCTTCCAAACACCAAGCTGTAGCAGCAATTAGTTGGCAAGAAGTCAGGAACAGATCTTCACACTAATGAAATGAACTAATTGTCTCCTGCAAGCACCACTCTCCTTTCGCTCCTCTTTATTCCCTCTGGGAGGAGCCGTTCACCGTCCCCCTGTGGCTTTACTCCCAAGTCGGCCCATGTTCCTTAGCTGTTCCCTTCTTCTGGCAGCTCTGTGCATGTGCACACTGGGAACAGGCTCCAGCTGTTCTTCTTCCCCACTGATCTCCAACTCCGAAGGCAGCTGATAACTATTGGATGTCCCCGGCCCCATCTCTGCCTCTTGTTTCTCAGCTGCTCCCTTCTTCTGGCAGCTCTGTGCATGCGCACACTGGGAACAGGCTCCAGCTGTTCTTCTTCCCCACTGATCTCCGACTCCGAAGTCAGCCGATAACTGTTGGATGTCCCTGGCCCCATCTCTGCCTCTTGTTCCTCAGCTGCTCCCTTCTTCCGGCAGCTCTGTGCATGCGTACACTGGGAACAGGCTCCAGCTATTCTTCTTCCCCACTGATCTCTGACTCCAAAGGCAGCTGATAACTGTCGGACAGCCCTGGTCCCATCTCTGCCTCTTGACAGAGCCCTCGTCAACGCCTTCCCCAGACTCCAGGACTGGCCCATGTTCCTATCCAACCTCCTCACTGTCCAAATCTGCCACCAGCTCCGCTGGTCGCTGGCGGGCCACAACACTACCTTTGGTGCCTTGAATTTAGGCTCAGTGTGGCTGAAGGGGAAATCTTTAAACGAGGGTTCATTTTAAGACAGGTGGACTTCAATTCCCAGAATTCCCCAGCCAGCCCTGCTGGCTGGGGAATTCTGGGAGTTGAAGTCCACCCATCTTTAAAAGTTGCCAAGACTGGACGCCCTGTTTTAATGCCACTGCCGCCTTGCTAACAATACCTCTCTTTCCTCCAGTTCATAAAAAGCCGTTGCAAGAAGTGGAAATTGCTGCAATCACCCATGGTGCTCTCCAAGGATTGGCCTACTTGCATTCCCACAACCTGATCCATCGGTGAGTCCTCCCCTGCGTCGCTCTCCTTGCCTCGATCCCTGCTCCAAACGTCCCAACGTAAGCGAAACGTAAGGCCCTACACTTAGGCAAGGCAACAACCCCACAGGCACAAAGTAGGTGAAACCTGACTCGGCACCCGTGACTGCGAAAGGGTGTCCGACTGGACAGTCACTTAAATACGAGCCAAATACGAGCGTGGTGGAAGCCAGTAAAACAAATACAGCCCTTGGCTGTACAAACAGAGGCCTAGAATCAAGAACAAGCGGAGCGTTAATACCGTTTTATAAGGCCTTGGTAAGACCCCGCGTGGAATACTGCATTCAGCTTTGGCCACGATGTTAAAAAAAAAAGGATGTTGAGACTCTGGAAAGAGGGCAGAGAAGAGCAACTAAGAGAATTAGGGGACCGGATGCGAAAACATACGATAGACGGTTGCGGGAATAAGGTATGGTTAGTTTAATGAAAAGAAGGACTAGGGGAGACAGGATAGCAGCCTTCCAACATCTCAGGGGCTGCCCCAAAGAAGAGGGAGTCAAGCTATTCTCCAAAGCCCCTGAAGGGTGGAGGAGAAGCAACGGATGGAATCTAACCCAGGAGAGAAGCAACCTGGAATTAAGGAGAAACTCCCTAATACTGAGGACAATGAACCAGTGGAACTGCTGGCCACCAGAAATGGTGGGGGCTCCATCACTGAAGGTTTTTAAGAAGAGACTGGATAGCCACTTCTCTGGAATGGTCTACTAGGGTCTCCTGTTCGAGCAGGGCGTTGGACTAGATGACCTCCAAGATCCCTTCGGTTATTCTATGTTCTATTTGTGGACCTTCTGAGTCAGCTGTTTTCTGCTCCTCTGTCCTGAGTTTTGGGTTTCAAAGAACAAATGCTGAACTGGCATGGTAGGGCCCGCAGGGAGGGAAAGGGATCTAAGAGAGGCACACCCAGATATAAATAAATTATATTTTACAGAGACAGAATGGAATGTCATCACATTATAAAAAAAGATGTGGAGACTCTGGAAAAAGGGCAGAGAAGAGCAACCAGGAGGATGAGGGGATTGGAGGATAAAACATACGACAGACGGTTGCAGGAACTGGGCCTGGCTGGTCTAGGGAAGAGAAGGACCAGGGGAGACAGGAGAGCAGTCTATCGATATTTGAGGGAGGGGCTTCCCCAGAGAGGAGGAGGGGGTTAAGCTATTCTCCAAGGCACCTTTGAAGTCCAGACAAGGAACAATGGATGGAAACTGACCCAGGAGAGATTCAACCTAGAAATTAGGAATTTTCTGACAGTGAGAGCAATCCACCGATGGAACAGAAGTTGCCTTCAGAGGCTGTGGGAGCTTCATCCCTGGAGGCTTTCAAGAAGAGACTGGACTCCCATCTGTCAGAAATGGTGTAGGGTCTCCCGCTTGGGCGGGGGAGGTTGGACTAGATGACCTACAAGGTCCCTTCCAACTCTGGTTATCTGTTATCCATTAATTGGGATATTTTTAAAAAGGCTGCATTTTTTCTAGAAATAACTTCCTAGAGGCAAGCTTTAGTTTCTAGAAAGTTGCCCACAGTGCATGTTAATGACAAGTAATTTCCTTTACTAAGCAAGATGATTTTCAATTGAGCTTTGCCCCGTTTTGCGACCTTTCCTGCTGTTAAGTGAATCACTGCAGTTGTTAAAACAAGTTGAACCTGGTTGTTAAGGGAATCCGGCTTTCCCCCACCCAACGACTTTGCTTGTCGGAAGGCCGCAAAAGGGAGGGGGGAATCCCCCCCACCCCCCCGAGACACTGCAACCGTCATAGATACGAGTCAGTTGCCAACCCTCTGAATTCCGATCCTGGGACTGTGGGGGGGATGCAACGGTCATGAGTGTGAAAAACGGTCAGGACTCACTTTTTTTCCCCCAGTGATGTTATAACCTCGAACTTGTCGCTAAGTGAATGGCTGTAAGTCAAGGACTGCCTGTATTCTCTCCCTCCCACCCACCCCTGTGGATAAACCTGTGGCTTGCCTTCCTTTTCTTCGCAGGGACATCAAGGCAGGGAACATTCTACTGACGGAACCCGGGCAGGTGAAGCTGGCTGATTTTGGGTCGGCCTCCATCGCTTCCCCTGCCAATTCGTTTGTGGGGACCCCCTACTGGTAAGCAAGGGGCTTCTCGGGAGTTAAGAGCTCCAGGGTCGGCTGAATCGTTTATTTATTAAAGCGATCGATCGCATCAATTTATCAATTAATTTAAATTATTTACCTACTAAACTATTTCTTTGTAATTTGGATGGATGGATGGATGTAAAATAGATAGATAGATAGATAGATAGATAGATAGATAGATAGATAGATA